TCCCACTTGGCCCAACTGTTTCCTTCTCAGATAGTGACCTACCTCAGAAGCAATAAGAATGTTATCCGAAATAAGCCTACCTGGGAGAAACGCACTTTGTGATTCCGAGATAATACGATCCAATAGCGGTTTCATACGGTTAGCTATCATCTTAGCCATTACCTTATACACAACATTGCATAAAGCAATAGGCCTCAGATCAGTAACCAGCTCAGGGGAAGCCTTCTTCGGGATCAGGACAATATTGGCATCATTCAATTCAGGGGGAAAAGAAGATTGAGATAAGCATGAAAGGACAAAATCAGTAAAATCCTTACCAATAAGATCCCAGAACGCCTGATAGAACCCCGGATTCATTCCATCCGGTCCTGGCGATTTGTCTTTACCCATTGCAAACAGAGCATCCTTGACTTCCACAGGTTCGAAAGGACGCAGCAAGTCATCATTCTGAGCACGAGTGACACAGGGGGACAAGGTATCCACCTGGAAAGTTCCCGTATCTCCATTAGTCTGGAAAATTTGCTTATAATACTCCGTCACCAAAGAGACGAGCCCATCACCCTCTTTCCATACCCCATTCCCATCATTAAGCCTCAGAATGGAGTTCTTTCGTTTCCGGTTCGTGGCATACTGATGAAAGAACTTCGTGTTTCGATCCGCCCCTTGCAGCCAGTGCTGCTTGGCCCGTTGCCTCCAAAAAGACTCCTCCTGCAACAAGACGGCATTCAACTGCCCATCTAGCTGCCTGAAGCGCCCTAAAGAAGGTGGGTCCATCTGTCCTCTCAAACTATTCATCTCTCTTTTTATTGCCTCAATCCTGGAACCATACTTGTGGAAGTGTTCTCCCCCCCACCTCTTGAGACCCCGACCACACAACAACAACCTCTCCTGAAAACCAAGCCCCTGCGTATTCGTCCACTCCTCCACCACCACTTCCCTACACCCCTCATCTCTTAGCCGAGCGTTCTCAAAACGGAAGCCACGCGCCCGCCGTGGTGAATCCGTACTATACACATCCAGGAATAGAGCCGTATGATCCGACCTCACTGTTTGAATGTTATATAGTCGGGCGTTTCCATGTAAACCCCTCCAGGCCGCATCCGCCACCACCCTATCCAGACGTTCCTCTACCCAATCCGGAGTCCCCTTACCCTGCTCCCAAGTGTAAGGGTATCCCAACATAGGTAAAGTAGATAAACCACAGTCCTCCAATGCTTCCCCAAAACCCTCCAACCACCGTACAGGATGCGGGCGTCTCCCCCTCTTCTCTGATTGTGATAGCAGATCGTTGAAATCCCCCAAAACCACCCAAGGAAGGCCAGACGCGTCCTTAAGTGATCTCAGGAAATCCCATGCCTCCCTCCTTCTTGAACTCTGAGCATAACCATAGAAACAAGTCAATCTCCAATGATGCCGGTTTGGGAGGGACACCACAAGATCAATATGATTATGAGAGTACTTCGTTAAACGGACTCTATTATTCTTTGCCCAGAGAAAACCCATACCACCCTTCTGCCGCACACTATCCACGCCAAACCCACCCTCAAACCCAAGTTTTACACGGAGTCTCTCCACATGACTCCTATCCACCATTGTTTCCATGAGATACACAAATTCAGGCTTCTTCTTGGACACCAGGTCCACAATCTCTCGAACTGTCTGTGGATTGCCCAAGCCACGACAGTTCCAGCTCAGGACACTCATTGAGGAGGGCGGGCCTGATCCACATGTCCCGCCAAACAAGAAGAATCAACCATCATCACTCCCTCGCTCACCCTCTCACCACCTGCCACCTCACCATTCTCCCCCCTTCTCCGCTTTGGGTCAACCCACACACCCTCATCCTCCCCTGACCGAACAACCCCCACACCCGCCACACCCGACCCACTCAGCCGCACACCTCCCGGGTGCGGTAACCCCCCGGCCACCTGCACCTGTTGAAAACCCGCCCCCCGGCCACCTGCCCCTCCCAAGCCCAAGCCACGATGCATCATCTCCCCTTTCTGTAACCAATTTTCTCCAACCGCCTTAGCTGGAGAATTACCCCCAGCCTTCATGCTTAATCCAAACGGGTATTGAGCTGGCTTCAAACCGGACACACGGGCATCTAAACAAAACTTATCTGTATGCCCTAACTTCCCACAGAAGAAACAGAACATATGTAAGCGTTCATATCGGAAATTTACCCATGTCCAAGAATTGTCCTGCAAAATCATCTTCATACGTCTCTTCAGTGGCGCCGTAACCTCCACCGTTACCTTGACCCTATAAAACGTTGTCCAGGGCCTCACAAAATTCCTCTCATCCAGCTCCACAAACAAACCAAGAAAGTCCCCGACTTTCTCCAGAACTTTGTCCGTACGATACCCGACCGGCAAGTCGTGCACCTGTACCCAAAAATTAATAGTATTCAACAACACTTGGGTGGGATGTTCACCTGGACGTAGTGGTTGACAGATCAACGTAGCATTCTTGAACGCCCATGGACCATTGTCCAACACATATGCAAGATCCGTATTGTGATAAAAAGTGAACAAATAAAGATTCGGTTGAATCTCTGCAACCTGTATCCCCATTAATGGCCTCCAGACGGACGCCATCACCTGCCTCATCACATCGAACTTAATAGTTCTATCAGTTAGGAACCGTCCGACCATCTGCCAGTACTGAACCGCCATCCCTTCTGCAATCGCCAATCCATCATCCTCCCCGAAACGGACTCCCACTTCCTCCTCCTCCAGCCTGATTTCCGAACAGCCTTGTACAAGGTCCTGGACATCCATGCTTCGCCTTCGGACAGTGTTAGACAAATTGCTTGGATCTCAGCTCTCGGCCAGGAACACTCGATTAGAATAATCGCCGAACCAGAAACCTGTACGCACTCCGTGGAACCTTCCGCAACTTACCACGATAACCAACACAAAAAAACGACCGCCAAACCAATCGAAGAACAGTAATCCGCAATTCAGACGAGAAACCTAGAAGAGTTTCCGATCGTGTATGGTAACAACATGCAAAAAAACGCGAAAAACCCTAGATACCAGGGAGAAAGATGAAAAACCCTAGATACCAGGGAGAAAGATGAAAAACCCTAGATACCAGGGAGAAAGATGAAAAACCCTAGATAGATGGAAGAATATCAATAAATTAATTAAAAGAAATATTTTCATTAGTTATATTGTCTTTATTTTTCTCAAATGTAAAAATTTTTACATTCAATTTTATCAATTGATTATATTCACTACATTATCTATTATCTTTTTTGTGCACTATTTTTCTAATTAAATATCAAAGTTATAATACAAAATAATGTTATATATTTATTTACCAAGTATTTTATTAATACCATGAAAAAATTAAAAAAATATAATTAATAAAGCCAACCATATTAACTACTTGAGAGATTTTGTGACAAAGAGAGTATTCAAATCACACAACAAATTGAAGTGAGAACTATCTCGCAATGTCCTTGTTTGACAACCAGCAGTTAGCGGTTAGCGTTAGCGGATTATACTAACGAATTTGACCAGCGAATTTATTTAATTATTAACATTGGGTAGAAAAAATGACCGCCAAATTATTAAATCAATGAATGGTTCATATTGTTCAGGTTTTAATTTTTTTCTTTTAAGATTTTCTAATTTATCCTTAATTATATGATTATCCATTTAACTTTTCCGTTAATTCACCGTTAGTCTAATTCTAATATTAAAGTCTAATATAGAATTATAACTACACCATTAATCTAATTCTAATATTAAAGTCTTAATAGAACTTAACCACAAATCCTAATGTCGGAATCTCCTCAAACAATATTAGTATATATTAAATATTTTATGCCATAATTTTTATTTGTTTTCTCTTATGTCCCATATTTGGTTTCAACCATACCTATACAATTATTTTATTGACAATTATAATCAATCTTGACTATATTATCTTGCATTTGTAAACTTAGAATTACCTATTTAACCCGCACGGGCTTAGCTCAATGGTTTAGTGGGTAGTATTTGGGAGAAGAGACCAAGGTTTAAACTTCGGCGGCGGCAGTGCGGGAATTATGTCCAAAGTGGGCAGATTCCTTGTGCGTATCAGCATTTGGCCCTGTCTACTGAACCATTGAGTCACCGTGATTTACAACTTCTCACAATGCTCTGTCGGGTCGGAGTGTGGGGAGCCCTTGGGGTTGGGGATTCAACCTTTTGGAGAAGAATTACCTATTTAAATACGCAAATTCAACCTTCAATTATCTATGCATGAACAATTTCAATATAATCCTGCATTAATATACTTTAAAGTACTTATTTAAAAAAAACATTGGGCATTATCAAATCGCGCAATGCGCGTAAAAAACTAGTATAAAGTATATAATTCTAACTCATAAAATCTATTATCTTATTCCACAAATTTCATTATTTTAACACATAAAATATATTATATATGATTCTAACTTATAAAATACATTATCTTAATTAAAAAATTTTATTATTCTAACACATAAATTACATTATTCTAATATATTAAATATATTATTTTATTTCAAAATATTTATTATTTTAACCCATGTATAAAACACAAAATTTCTTTTTTTTAATATCAAAATGACATTATTTTGAACTATAATCTACATAATAATTTAACCCAACAGGGTAGCTCAAGTGGCAAATGAGCTCTCTTTGTGGGGGAGAATTCCGGGATAACCTGGGTTTGATTCCCACAAGTGACGATTCCCTTTGGGCCAGCTTCTGTGCCTCTCGGAGCGAACTGGGTGGACCTGGACCGTTAAACGGACAGAGAAAGACCCGGATCACAATGTGTGGTTTCCACCAAAAAAAATCTACATAATAATTTGCAAGTAATTTCCCTAGAATTAACGTTCATATTACAATTGGGTTCCGAGCCTCCAGAGCACATTAATCACCACATCACATCAAACACGGTAAGAGTACGACCACCCACGCCTTTGAATTTCAAAACCATTATAATACTCCGTATTAAATTTAGTGGGAAATCCATCCTCGGGACAGAGACCGACACGGCGACACTATTTTACGCCCACACTGGCACACTGTTTCGGCACATTCTAAAATACCCAAAACACAAGAATCAGGGTTCTTGCTTCTTTTGATCATAAATCTTTCCAATGGCCAGGTACCAAAAATCTTCTTCCGCCAAAACCCCTTTGTACCTTTCGGTTTTGTTCGCACGCACACTGAATAAAGCTGTTATTTTTTTGTTTTCGGATGATTATATTGTGAAAACGATTCCAAATTTACCAATGCATGATGATTCTTACCATCAGAAAGGATTTATGTAAATTTTATCTAATTAAAGTGGGGAAATATCCCAACTTTATGAGTCTGTGCGACTCTGCTAGTCATTAGAATGGCTTAAAGTTCGGATTTTGATCAAAACGTGGAGTTGTGTTTGTCCGCTGAGTTTGTAAGAGTAGAGGTTGAGTTTAATCAAGAGTTGGGTTTTAGTTTCTTTGTATAAATTTTGACCCATCTGCTGTTTTCTTTGGAATGGTTTTTGATGTTTTGCCTATGCTGCATTTTTGGGTGTATAGAAGTAGTAGATATTAATGCTTGTAATTATCATTCAAACTGTTAAAATTCAGTTTCTGTACTGTTAGTTTTGGTGTTTCTAGTTTCATTTAGCATTAGCATTGCAATTAGCTGGTGTCTAAGCCTTAAAGGAGTTCTATATGTTTGATTGAGCTCCATGACTATGTGTTTAGTTTTAACTTTCACATGTAATTGTGCCAAATTCTATGCATATTAAATAATGGGATTGTTAAGAGTTCCACAGTGATAACTAAGACAGAACATATGTGTTTATAAGACCATGAGTCAGACTAGCTAATTGGTTGGATTCAATCTTTTAGTGTGGTTTGGTCCATGTGTATTATAGCCTAATTGAGTAATCCTAGCCCAATCTAAGATTATAAGCATTCTTTTGTTTGTTACACTATTGTTTGAATTCTGATATGTTTATGCAATTGCAATTTCTAGTATTGCGTCTTTTTGTTTCTCGAGGTATGTTTCCGCATGTTAAGCATTGAGAATAATTTGTAGCAGATTTTAGGTTAATGTAGAGCTCTACAAGTTGATAATAGCACCACCATGATAGACTAGTTGGAGTTCTGATTCTATAAATTTGGTATTATGTATTGTAGTCGAGTATATATATATGGTTTGATTGACCTGTGCAGACAAGCGTGGTTGGTTGATCCTAATAGGCTTGCAACAAAGATTCTTAGTGCATCAAGCGATCCAAAAAGAACCAACTGGAAGAGTAATCCCACAAAAGCTTGTCCTAATTGCCAGTATAGAATTGACAACAGTGATGTAAGATTCTAAATCCCGGAACTTTATTTCTGTTGATAAGTTATAATTTTCTTAATATTTCCTTTCACGTGTAAAAAGTTGATTTTGTGATTTTGAAGAAATATTCAATTGAGAAAGGAACTTTGTACAGTAACTATGTTCATTTTTATAAAGTCGGAGACTAATTACAGTCAACTTCACTGAATCACTTCATTATTGTTCTCCATTTTAGAGCTAAAAAATAAAATTAAAATCTGTTAATTTCAGGTAACTCATGAATGGCCAGGATTACCAAGAGGGGTGAAGTTTGATCCATCTGATCAAGAGATTGTCTGGCACTTAATTGCGAAAATTGGAGCCGAAGATTTGCAACCTCATCCTTTTATTGATGAGTTCATTCCAACAGTTGACGAAGATGAAGGAATCTGCTATACACATCCTCAAAATTTACCTGGTATGAACTATAATTAGCATTACTTATCTGTAATTAGCATTACTTATCATAATCTCTGTGCTTTTAGGTATTAAGATGGATGGAAGTTGTTCACACTTCTTTCACCGAGCAATAAAAGCCTACAATACAGGAACCCGAAAGCGCCGAAAGATACATGGTGATAATTTTGGAGATGTTCGTTGGCACAAGACTGGTCGCACAAAACCCGTTCTCTTGGATGGTGTACAAAAAGGTTGTAAGAAGATAATGGTTCTATATGTCACCCCAGCCAAGGGTGATAAACCGGAGAAAACGAATTGGGTTATGCATCAGTATCACCTTGGAACAAGCGAAGATGAAAGAGATGGAGAATATGTCATCTCCAAGGTGTATTATCAGCAGCAGCAGCAGGTTAAGCATAATGAGAAAAGTGAATGTCAATCCCCGAAGGGCCATGAATGTTTGACTGTCAAGGTAGATCCCGTAACTCCCAAATCCGTGACTCCAGAACCCCCACTTACAGAAAGAAGATTTTCAAGCTCAGATGCAGTATCCTCGACCCCGGCAGCTTACAGTAGCTCCAATATTCAGGTAGGTTCAAGAACCAAGGTAGTATACTAATTCAAATGGTATTTACAAGGGATGATAATTCGTGAAATAGGAATGTAAAATCACACTTCAAAATGGCCCAGTTGTCCACTTGAGTGGAGTGTTAAGAGTCCGCATTGATAACATAAGTGAGAATATATAGGTTTATAAGTCCATGGGTTAGACTAGCTAATTCGTTGGATTCAATCTTTTACTCTTTTAGTGTGGTTTGATCCATGTGCATTATAGCCCAATTGAGTGACCCTAGCCCAATATTATTTATAACAGGCCTGAATATGAGTTCCTTGAAACTCTTCTGCTTTGTAAATATTTTGCTTTAATGTTTGTTCTCATGCAAGAATATATATTCAACTTATTTGCTTTACACTTCAGCATCAGGAGGTGAACTACATTGAAGACCACATGGAAACTCCATTTCAGAAGTCTGGTAATCATGACCTAATCACTGAGAATCAAATTGATGAAATGGAGGTGAAAAATGAAAATGAAAATGAAGCTGGTGATGACCCGAAATGGTATGAAATTGGATCGCAGAACATAATGGATTCGCAGCAGCTTGCGGAATATATATCATTGTGTGATGAATTTATCTTGAGCCAATCTCCAAATAGGGAGGATCAGCAAAACCATAAAGAAAAGAAGTGCAAGGCCCGTCTTTCTGATCATTATGCATGCCTGGGAGCGGAGGTTTTGAAAAAAGATTTAGAAGAGTGCCAAGATTATGAGCTTGATCAAGCCAACATTATACTAGACACTCCACCTGACTTTCGGCTTAGCCAACTTGTAATTCTATTTTTTTAAAATTTATTTTGTTTTTTTTTTTTTTTGTTTTTTGTTTTTGTTTTTTCTGACTTTTGATTGTTCATGTTTGAAATTCAAATTTCTGCAGGACTTTCCATCACAGGACAGTTTCGTTGCTTTCGGTGGGCACAAGATTGGTTCTGAAGAGCAAGGAGATTAACATCATCATTTGACAGATTTTGCTCCAAAGTGGACTGCTAACTCCCCCAATATCGCTATTTCTTTTTGAGGCATGCTTAGGTGAACTATGCCTAAATGCCAGTGAATGGTATTAATATTTCATGCAGTATCTAGCTTTTTAACCGTATGCCATAAGGGTCGGTCTTTTCCATTTTTGAAGCCAGATTAACTGCACGTTCAATGCTACTTATTTCCTATGAGTGGTGGTGAGCTTGGTGTTGTATCATGTTTTGTCACAAATTATATATATTGTATATATGCTAAACACCTGATGTCTGTTGGCGTATTAACTATTTTCCTCATGGCCAAAAGTCGGCTTATACACTGAGGCTTACCCTACACCTATTTGGCAGTTACTGATTGATCTTTTATTTCCAGTTACTTGGAGGCTAACCATTGTTCTTATTATAGTTGTGTCTAAGAGGATAAGCTTATTGTGGAAGTCCTTCCATTTTTGGTTTGGAATTTTCTCAATGAAAAATGTTTGTTCTTGAAAAGCTTAAA